GGAGATGCGATCTGCTCAGTAGTACAGGCACAGGGAGGCGCTGGACTTACACCAGAGTGCGGGAGGAAAGTTTTCAGTTTTCAAAAGGCAGATTTATGGTTCCTTACACGGATCTTACCGCGGAGAACGCGGGAACGCGACCCTACTTTTGAAATCGGGCGACGAAATATTTGACCCAATGCAATAGAATCACTAGTTAACAGCCGAGCTGAAGCGACAACGCAGACCGGCTGGCCTTTGTTCCAACGGCCATTCTTTGAATAACTAGCCGACATAAGCTGATGCCAATTTGAGAAGCTCCTAATTGACGAATGATATAGGCACACAACAAATCATCATCATTGCTATAAGAGATGAATTTGTAAAAATATGACACCGATGTCACTTGACTTTGTGTGGTGACGCTTTCGTCATGCTTGCCTTTGGCCAGCCTGCGTTTTTTAGATAATATTTACTTATTTGAAAAGTTCTGTCAGAATCTGTTAAAACAAAATAGATTATGATACGACCTCTATCAGAAATGGTGAAGTTGCGTCAGCTTTGTCAGCCTGACCGTGTCAGTTAAAGTTTTGTTCACATTTGGGCCATGGCTGCTTTGGGGCATCTCCGGAATGCAGGACCAGACATCAGCTGACCTGGAATCGTCTTCATCTAGGCTGTCGGCGTCACTCTAGTCTGCCTCCTAGTCAGTCACTTAGAGAGACATAACGAGAGAGCCCAGGAACCAGGGATGGTGTCACCGACCTCTTTAAAGGGAGTATCTCTCCTTTTTTGTACTTCTCACTTGTTGTTACATAAGAGGCGTACGATTTAATCAGCAAGATCAGTTTTCTTGAAATCCTTCGGAAGAGAACAGAACTGCGATTTAAAGTAGCCGAAGCTGCGGGTGAAGTTTTTTCCAAAATGTGTGCCCTGTAATGTTTGTAAAACGATAATGCTCCAAAAGTTTGTGAAATAAACGCTACAAAATCTTGAAACACACTGTTTACACAAAAATATATGCGAACATGAAGCTTTTATCCCACGAACTCATGGAAACGTTATACTATGGTTTTGGCTTCTCACCTACGGTGGTTACCCCAGTGGCTCTTTTCGAGGCGTGCTTTGGCTTTGGAAATCAAAGTATCACATTCATGTAATGCACCGGTTGAAACACAGCAAACCAACTTCTCAGCAACAGACCCTTGCCCGATGGGCCAACCATTTGCACCGGTAGAGGTACGCACGGTCGTTGTCATGACGACGTTCGTCGCGATGGCAGGGAAGAAGCACAGTGCTGTTACGATGTGCTGACAGCGTAATTTGGACCAGAAAACAGTTAAAATTGGCATCTTCACTATGATTTGACAGTGCTGCACCTGAACTATTCAGTGTTACCATAAGACGTAACTAGTCACGACTTTTCACCAGGCAATGTTTTGGAATATGCCCCAAAGATGGGACACTACCCTTAACCCGGCATGGACAGGGGTGCGGTCAAATTTGTCCCCTGTCCAATATTTGTGACGATTCAAGAACCTTCTTGAAGTATCGCTGCAAAATTTTTAGTAGCTGCCAGTTGATGAGTTCTACGCCTTGTGTTACAATAACAGCCACGAGATTAAAATAGATCAAGCGTGAGTGACGCTAGAGTGACGTCATGCTTGCCGATTTGGGATAAATGCGCACGGCCGTAGGCAAATGGACACAGAAGGCGAACGAAGAATATATCTGATACCGTCAAATGGTAAGCAACAGCCCATTTCACGATCATTCACGTGCCTTGTCGCTGCACTGTTCAAATACTGCGCATTGAAATTCGTCATGCAAATAAAAAAGATAGAAAGTACACTCAATGTTTGTTTTTCCTCAAGGTAAAAGTTATGAGGCCAGAAAAGAAGATATCCTAGCTACGACCTTCAAAGATTCCTGTATCGAATTTAAAGCAATTATCTGTAACAATGACTGAGTTATGGCTTAAGATGCATCGCCGCGCCTGTTGCCCGTGCCCAGGCGGAGAGGGACCTACGGCGGCGGGCGGCGAGGCTTCGGGTATGTTGCGGCAGCGCGGTGATGGGGCAGTGGAAGCCGTGTACCAGTTTCACACGCAAACCAACGACCACGTGACTGGCGGCGGGGTTGAATGATATCTGGTCGCGAAGCGTTGCGTTGGTTGAAAACAACGTGAAAACCGATTTTATGTGTCAATGGTCGCGAGAAAAGAACAAATATATCGTCATCACTTTTATTGTCGTTTGTACGCGATCGCTTGGAGCAGAGGTATTGAACGCCGTTCCAGGCATTGACATCGGGCCAGGACTTTTTAAATTACTCATTTTTGATGAGGTTGACCTGATATGATCTTGGTCCTCCAGCTACCACACTTTACCACATCAAACATGTAAGAAGAACTGTTTCCTATCGCACAAACGAATGGTACGCGGGCACCTAATTGGATAGTCCGGCTTTCCATAACAAATCACACCATCAACGAGCATCGAACCACTTGTTTACCACCGCGGTCAGTCAGTTGACCTTGACCTTATACAGTTTATGAACAGGTAACAGCTCTTGCTCACGTATCTGGTACGCATAATTGCGGCTAAGCTCTCCCACTTTGCGTTCAGGTGGTTCAAATATGACGGAAACAAAGAGACCAGAATAAACATATAAAGATAAATGAAGCTTTCAGCTCTCATTTGCATGCGACGTGACCCTGGCTTTAGGCCTGGCGCGGGGTGTATATTTAAATAAAATGCGTCGTGGGATCGGGCAGATATTCCAAAGCAGCATGCTAAGAATTTGACCTGACCTGGGACCTTAATGCACACAAAATTTAACTTTGTTGTGTGGTCTGAGACCGCGCGCTACGGCTCTATCGATTGCTATTCGATTTTTTAAATTCGGCCAGGCGGTTCTTTAAATAAGCAGGAGGTCGAATCTGCCAACTTCCGGTCAAAGGTATGCCGCTGAGGAGCCCGGCCAATGCCGGGTTAAGGGAGGTGGGGAACCATATCTTGGGGCATGCTAGGCAAGTATCAGGTCCCGTATTCTAGCCCTCATCTAAAGGCGTTTTTTATGGAAACAAAGTTTCGAACTAATTCCATACATTTTTCGTTACGAAGAACATCCGGTTAGATATAACAGGGTCGAATGAATGTGCGCGGATTTCACTTTTCTGAAATGACAAGCTCTTTTCATAAAAGTATGCATGCAAAGGATGTATCACACAATAGAGTGACGTGGGTTGTTCTCAATTGGCTATCACTACGGAAACTAATAAGGGACATACTCAAGGTGACTCTCTTTTCTATGAAGGTAGAGTTCTGCGCGCTTCATCGATAACCCTGGCAGACTAGTCAGGTATCATCTTGCGCACCCCTGGCCGATTTGATGACCCCATTATGGTCATCCTGAAGACTTTTCCTGCAGACGCAATATCCCAGGGATCCCCATATACAGTCATCAAAAAGTTGTCAGATCTGGATAATGGCCAACCGCGGAACGTCCGTCTCTCAGCGGATGATGCGCTCTCCGAAGGAGTCCTCCGAGGAGATCAGGTTCACCCTTACGTGTATGAAATCGCCCCGTTATGCTGGAACTAGATGTTCTCCATTTCACCCTCGGGGTCTTGCCCCAGCTGTCTCCAGAAGCGCTCCAACTGCCGACGTACCACTGCTTGTTGGCAGTTGCCTTGAATTCATCTTCACATTGGAAAAAGTCCAGAGAGTCGTTGAAAGTCATGGCGTACCACGCTGTCAGTTTCGAGCTGTTCAGCGGGCTCTCCGAACGATGTCTGGTAGCTCTGGGGCCCATACACGGCATCTACATGCTCATTGCCCAACTGAGGTGGCGGTGGGCCTCGTCGTTGAACCAAAAGCGGTTCAGATACCCAGAAACGTCTTCAAATTTCGGCTGCAGCAAGATGGCAAGTGTCACCCGTTGTTGTTTAACGCTTCTGCTAGCTTCTTATGTATAATTAGCTCTAGGGACATAGTTTAAGGCCATTTTCCGGAATTTATCGCACGCTTGTGTGACTGGAACTAAGTTCCTGGGTCTTTTTATGAATTTTGCGTACGAATTACGAATTGATGCATGGAGACCCATTATTTTTTCAGTGCGCGGATTTTTCAAACTTTACGTGTTTTATATGCGACTTGAACTGCCATGGTTTCTCGAGGCAAGTGCTGCAACCACAATTATGACCTATGTTATGACGGAGAACTGCATCACAGCTCGCAGAGGGGTCTGAACCCGGACATTGCCGACATGAAAACCAGGTACAAGGCGTTTCGCCGCTGAACATCCTTGTGGGACAAACTAAACCACTTCTGCGGGCTGACGTTTGTCATGGTGAAAAATGCTTTACGTTTCGCGCCGACGCAACATGTCTCTTCATGGCTCTCATTATCATCTTCATCTGAAACTAGCCACCTTTTCACTTTCACAGAGCATCACCGGCAATGATGACCACATGGGAGCACCACGGATGGAAAAACACGGCTGGAAAACCGCGCACACGCCATCCTTTAACTCACCAAGCAGGGCGACACGCTTCTATCGAATCTTGCGGTCATTTGATTTCTGGCGCCATCCGGCAGATCAAAGTGAGCTGCCCTCCCATAACCTCTGGGGCCCGCCGATGCTGAGTGCTCCCCAACCCCGCCCTCTTCCCAGGGGGGCGGCGCGCGCTGACCGGCGTCGGGGTCGGCGGCAGCGGCCGTCGGCAGTGTGCCACCGAGTCGCGCTGTCGACCGTCGGGGACGACACGAGCTGGGAGCCGGGCCAGGTGAGGGCGTCCGCGGCCTCTGAGAGCTGCAGCTGCCATGACGCGGAGCTGGGATCCGGGCCAGGTGAGGGCGTCCGCGGCCTCTGAGAGCTGCAGCTGCCATGACACGGAGCTGGGGGGAGCCGGGCCAGGTGAGGGCGTCCTGCAGCCTCTGAGAGCTGCAGCTGCCATGACTCGGAGCTGGGACCGGTTCAGGTCAGGGCGTCTGCGGCTCCTGAGGGATGCAGCTGCCATGACACGGAGCTGGGAGCCGGGCCAGGTGAGGGCGTTTGCGGCCCCTGAGAGCTGCAGCTGTGACGACAGGACAACAGCAGAACACGTGATTATTCTGTGGTTTGACGTCATCAGTAAGCTATGACGTCAAGTTATCTTCCTTGGTGCCAATTTGAGTGATATTATGATTATAGCGGGTTCGGTTGATCCTACTTACACGAATTATGCTGAGGTACATCGATTTTGAAATTGTCTGATGGTGCGATAGAGAATACGGCTTTGTCTGATCATCCGTTGGGTGTGCGTTTGGCCTGCAAGAATATTTTCGTTTAAATGTGTCTGTGCCGAACGGATGTGGACCATACTACTGCACAAGCGAAAAGGTACGTAATGTTCGTGCTGCATCATTCTTATCAATGGATCGTGTTGCATTCTTCAATTTCAAATATTAAGAAAGGTATGTATTGAAAAATAGTCACGCAGCACGGCAGTTCAGCTGTTAAGTTTTACGTGAGCCCTGAAAGAAATTTAAAAAGCAGTGGGCTTCAGCCTGGAGCGTTTCTAGAATGTGCAATCACTTATTGCGGGCTGCATGCATGCAACCAATCTGTGGCAAAACGAATGTGACATGTAACGGCTGGTAGGTGAAACAAAACGGCTGAGCACTTTTATTGATTCACCTATTTTAAGATCAAATCACAGGTCAAGATACTAATTACGTTTTTAGAACCGGACAAAAGAAAGCCCACGAAGGTGATGGACCTCGCCCTTACGTAATGTGAAAGAAAACGCTTGCTGCGCGTCAGGCCTGTTCCTTTCCTCATGGTTTCGATCACGATCCACGGGTTAGCTTTTTACGCAACGCTGCACAGGCATAATGTTAGCTCCTCCACGAGTTCAGAATGTGGTACCCCGGCGGCGGAGCCCATAACTCCCCGTCGGTACGAACTCCTGACTTGCACCACGACGTCCCGTCACGCCGGTTCAGTAATGACGCGTACTCCCATGTGGGAAGCCCGGATTGGATTTCGGCTCGACCTAAGGCCTCTGGGTCCAACATGAGCGCCGTAGTTTCTGGAGCTCACTGCAAGAATGTGCGGCGTATCTTTACGCCTTGAATACAGAAACATTTCTGTGCGCTTTCTGCCTTGCCAGCTTTGTTCGCATCAAGCCATACTACACCTTTTCGCTGCCGCTCTAGGCCGATCGACAAAACATCTCATCCAATCTGCGAATGGAGCGCGTTCGGCTCAGCCGTCCCGGAGGGCGCCCATACGACGTCAAGTGGTTTTCGTGACGAATGGCGATTGCGGAAAACATCGTTCCAACAGTTTTTCCATTGGTCAGATGCGACTGCAAAATGGTGTACTATACCCTTTACGAGTGAAAGCAATGAAGAGTCAGAGAGCCAGAGTTTGTTTGAGTGCATTTCATGTCAGGTCATTTGATGACTGCGGTAAGTAAAGTTGCTAGTGATGCCGGTCACAAAAAGCACATTTTTGTTCTGAATCATCAAGGTGTAAGGGCACAGTTCCGCAAACATATGGCTTCATGGCAACGCTCTTGATGACACACTGATCGTAACCAGCCTTAAACCACTGTATTGTTCACCAGCCGTGAAGTCTTTACACCAAAAGCAGACATAGAGACAACCGGTTAAAAGCATTAAGTGCTGTCGACTGTTGGTTAATTAGAACGGCTGGTAAAAGCGTGCATTTATATCACCGAGACTAGAACCGGGGGAGTTCACAAATGCAGGCAGTTTCTGGCGTCATATAGAATCGTTTCATCTGAATTGCATCGCTGGATTTGTGATACGTGGCTGCATAAAGCTGCATATCGGTCCCCAGATACATCCTAGGCTATGCGTGCTCAGTCCATTTTGAAAAGAGATCATTGCAAAATGATGAAACACATATCACGTCAAAAGTTCCGAAGTGTTAGCGTGCCTTGATCCCAACAACTCGAATGATGGTGGACAAAATGTACATGCCTTACGGGTACACATATTGTTTTCCACCCACGTCTGATGAGCCCTTGAGCCAAAGGCGCAGCCAGAACTTTTTAAGAAAGGGGCCCGGAGCTCGATGATCACGCACCACGCCGATTTTTAACTTTCTGTCGGAAGGTTTCTATGGTGAAGGAAAAATCCGGACTTGAGGGTAGGAGGGCCTGGACCCCTTACCTGGCCGCGTCCCTGCCTCAAGCTATTTTCATATCATATGAAAATACGAATGCATTACTTACGCTGGTATTTGGCATCTAGGCATTTGACTAAAATTATTTAACAATCGGTTCGTACCATCACCCAAGATGCGGAACACTGCAGAAGTTCATTAACTGACACACTTTAACATTGTGATTCGTAATTCAAACAATCCATGCCATCTAAATCTCACTCAAATCACTCAATGTCACGCAATGTCACTGCCACAATGATACTAAATGGTACTCAATCGAAATGGCTCTAAACGTTCAATATCAGGTTCCACTTTCCAAAACTAGAACAACACATCAGAAAGAATCCAAAGGAAAAAGGATAAAAAGGACAGAAAAGGCCAGAAAGAAATGTAAATATAATGTTCATTGGAACATGGCTCTTAACCTACATCTGTCACGTTCCAGCTTCGATCAGCTCTGCGTTCGGTTGCCCTTTTGAAGCACTGCAAGATGACAACTCAAAAGTAACACGCATTTTTTAGTTTTGGTTTGCTGAGAGTGCAAAGGTTCAGGCGACAGCCAAAGCACAGGATATGTTTCCAAAGATCTGTAAGTATCTGCATGTTCGCGACCAACACCGCTCTACACACACGGCTGCGCTGCTTCCTAGTAATCCTCGGCAAATTATCCTGTGTCATTTAATGTCAACCGCTAATCATCGAAAACGTCGGGGTTAGTCATAACAAAACCAATGATTGCGTAATCAGTGCATTCATAACGTATTTTGTAGAGCGTTCATGGCTTTGGACAAGTCAGATTTTTTGTTTGTTTTCTTCATTGTTTCATGCAATTCTGAGGATATTTACGACCTCCTGGCGCGGCCTCAAACATGTGTAGATGGGAACGAAAGCCTTTGCGTCCTGGGAAATGGCACGTGCGCTATTATGCCATGACAGTATTGAGCAACCCAGACACCGAGAACGACGGAACTTCATAAAATACTGCAGACCTGGCACGTGAGCGTCTGTGTCTAAAACAGCGCCCTGGCACGTGAGCGTCTGTGTCTAAAACAACGATTCCGAGCCAGGAACCATGTCCTCTGTTTAGGCATTACACTTATCCCTGTCCCATATGAAAACACGTAAACTACACAAAATACGTACAAAGTTGACTTATTTACAGAGCACAGCAAAAATTCACTGGGCTTTAAGTCACTGACCCCGCCCGTCTCGAAAGATCTGAAATGAACAAGCTGTCGATGCTGTCAAGTCCTATTACTGTAACAAGTTTGAACAATGGCAAATGTCCCACAAAAAGTTGTGGGTGGTCAAAGTATTTTTAGAGGCTTACGTCCTTGACCTGACTTAAGCCACTGATCTTGGTAGATCAAAATTTAAAAAGGATTCCAAATTGATAAGTGAATAGGTGTTGACAATGTGTTGTTGCTGCGAGCGCTCTTTTTTTTTAACCTCCACTCAAAAACCTTTGGGGAAGTTAACTTCCCCTTCCCCTGCCCGGGAGCGGGTTAGCAAGGTCAAACCGCCCTATACGCTACTGACCCGGTGCCAGACATCACGGAGCCTAGCGATTGGTGACGTCAGATGTGACAGAATCTAGCGACTGGTGATATCAGACGCGACCAATTCCAATTTTTTCCCAAACTGGTGCCAACGCGCACAAGAGCATTGTGTCAACAAATTGGCCGATTTGGCCATGAGTCCAAAAACGACCGATTTGCGTAATGGTTCATACTTCACATAAAATTGCGCAATTCCAAGCATACAAATGAACGAAACAAGCAGCTTTTTACATCTGCCATTCGTCACCGTACAGCCACGCATGATACTCAGCTGTTGGGGGTCCGCGTCATCACGCGTCGCTGCCGGCGCCGCCTCTCACCACGTCGCGGCCAATCCTCGGGGAACGGTGTTGGCCACGGCGGCCGCCTGTACCTGGCCAGCCGGGTGCAGTTATCATATGACGTCACATCGCAGCCCATCATCATCATGTGACAGTGGGGTGCAGTCGCGTGACGTGGCATGATCCTCACACGACAGCCGGGCACACAGTCATATGATATGAAATGACCATCACATGCCAGCTGGGCGCACAGTCAGGCGACATGACATGATTAGCACATGACAGCCGGGTGCACAGTCACATGACATGACATGATCATCACATGACAGCCGGGTGCACAGACACATGACATGACATGATTAAAACATGACAGCCGGGCATGCAGTCACATGACATGACATGATCATCACATGATAGCCGGGTGCACAGGCACGTGACATAACATGATTAAAACATGACAGGCGGGTGCAGTCACTTGACACATGGCTGGCCGCCGGCCGACCACGTGACATGGCGACCATAACACATTAACACATGTACACACCAGTAGAACACGCTGGGTTGATGCCACCTTCGAAGCTTGTACCATGCCACTTGTATGCTTGGTCTTTTGTATTGTTATGCATATGTGCTTGCGTCTATACACCAGGGCAAAGCACACAATGTCAAATACGAGATAGTACGCACGCATGACATTTGCTTTCTACCGCCACCTATGTCCATCAATAGCGCTGCCCACAAAGCTGAGGCTGTGTTTGATTCGCATGGCATCTGATCAGCCTTGACTGCAAGTCGGAAGATATGTCACACCACGTTACTTTATCTTACAGGATCTTGTGCGCAACCAGCCATGTGTTCAAAACATGTACTTCAAGGATCAGACCTCGTACATGCACCTCAAAATTTGACCGTTATTGCTGACTTGTTCATACGGTCTTAAATTGCAATGAACACTGATCGCAAATACTCCAGATTTGCCCGCCAAAAACCCGTCCGTCACCCGCCCAGCGAGCCGTGCAGTCTGAG